GGAGGACGACGGCGTAGATTGGGAGTTGTATGGAGACGGTGAGCAGTAAGTAGTCGAATGGGACTTCGACTCTGGTAGGGGGGTAATGAAACATTTGTCTTTCTGTTCTATTCCTTGTACTACTAGCGCCCATACTGGCGCCTGTCTTAGCGCTCACCCGCAGGTTGAACATTATGTAGCTTACATAATGGGGTCCGTGCGCACTTCGTGCCTGGTATCGTACCACTACGTTTCTTTCTTCACTAACACGACCACATAGACACGATGGTCCGTGCGCAGTCGGTACTTGTATAAGTAGTTGTACCATTAGTCGGTCGAACCCTAAGTTCGACCTGGTTATTCATTCAAGTCTCTGCTCCTCCTCGCTTGGGGTAGTGGTCATTCTCGACTTCCTCGCTCGATCTTCAGGACGACGCACTGTCCATAAGTCCTCGCTCGTTGTCTACGAGTCAGGCATCAATATAGGAGTATAGACCGTTGTATCACCACCCGACCTGTAGGAAAGGAAAGTGAGTGTTTGGGTTCCGAGAGAACGCCGGCAGCTATGGGAGTTTCGACCTAATGTCGCGACTTGAGGTTAAGCGACAGGGGAAGACCTAGGAAAGCTGGGGGTGTTCGACTGGTTCTCACCGAAGCGATGGTGAGCAATGCTCAAACCTAAGGCTAGGGACAAGTTAGTTAGTTATTGAAAGGTAAGTAAGTACAGGGGCTTACTGACCTAGGGACAAGAGGTCGAAACTGAGGTCCCTAGGGCAGCAGAGGCCGGCTTATATACAGGGGAAGTTTAGGGGAGGCTGTGCGCACTGGTCCGTGCACAGCTGGTCCGTGCGCAGCATGCTGACGCGGCCCCGGGGGCCGGTGAGTCAGAGCGGCTGTGTCAGCGGAGCCCGAGCTGTGCCGCGCACTGCCGTCCATCTAATCTAATCGTACAGTAGATAGCGACGTGTCCATATCAGGCATGTAGTACAGAGGTTGCGGGTTCGAGCCCGCAAAAAGGAAAAAATTAAAAAATGGCTAGACGCCGTACCAAGTCGTGACAGACACACTACTGTAATACATGGGACTGTAATGATTATGTAATGATGGGCTATTATCCTACCTTTCCAATTGAGGTGATGTTCGCCGCCCCTCTGCTATTTGTAGATATTTTGTGCCAGCCACTGTAGGGAGTTATGAAGGTTTAAGGTTAGGATTCAGTGTTTGATCTTGCCTTGGATGTAGCCAGATTGTGGTGCAAGTGTAGTGGATGGGTTTGCAGGACTTAGCTTGCATCAAGTTTGTCAGATTGAGCCCTTATAACTCCCACAGTGGCAGGAAGGAACCTGTTGCTGCCAGACATCTTGTCCTTCGGGCAACAAGAATCTCATCATATATAGTTATGAGCTTCCATATTTAGATGTAATGCTTACATAGATATTATACACTATCACTACAAATAGTAATATACCAAAGCCACTGGCTCATGGCTTGGCCTCGGCTTTTACAAATCACAAGCTAGGTCCTGAGCTGCTATAGGCTGCCCTGCTGGCCCGGCTTGGTTTGGCTTACAGAGCTCGGTTTGGCCCGGCCTGAGGGCTCTGAGCTGGGCTTTGCACATCACTAAATATGATAATATGTCAGATAATGCTGATTGTGGCTGGCTAGGACTCAGTGCTGCAGCTCGTTCTTGGATGAAGGGCCCCACCAACTGGAGGAAAGGACAGTTGGAAACCTGGTGCCATACAAAGTTTGTTCATAGTGAATTATATTATACAAATTCCGCTCAACGGTTGCCACCCAGACTTGGTAAGACATGAACCACCTACTGTGAGGTTCTTTGCACGCATTCTGGAAAAATCTGATGCCACTCTGCTCAAGGTCTCATATTTGTGTGCCGAAACTCATCCGTGTGGGTCTGCAAAGAGACATGACCACAACCAACACAGCTGCTTGCTTTAAACACACTCACAAGGGAAACATCCTGGTCGAATTTAGTATTTACAAAAGCCAGAGAAAACACTAAGCTATGCGAAGTACTCGAAACACCGGGAGGAACCAGAGTGCCTGTGTCGCCGAATGAGGGCTCGGTGCGCGGCGCGAGCACAAAGGATAGCGACTAGGATCGATTACGGCACAAGGCGTCAGACACCGTCCAGCGAGCGCATCTCGAGCGTGTCGCACTATTGCTGAGAGGGAACCGAGTAGCTACATCTCTCATGTATAATACAGCTAGGATACAAACTGTTTGAAGGACTACAGAAGGCTAGGGAACGTGAGCTCAACCAGGCCGGACCACATCTTGGGCGAGTGTACCGGTCCTCGGTGCGAGTCACGCCAATCCTCCGTGGTGGGTCGAGGCGGCAAGCTCAGCACATGGACCGCGAAGTCGTTTCACTTGGACTGCTCGTGAGCCATTCCGGAGCTCAGTGAGTAAACTATTTGGAGTACGAGGCCGAGCGAGAGAGCGCGGCAGTGTCATCATTCAGCCGATCTAGCGAGGAAGCGATGGGGTATAATGCAATCATCTGATCATGCAGAGACGTGTGGGTTTCCTCGACCTTGCGGCGGTCCTATGTCTCTTCGCGACAGTGCCAGAATACTTGTGTACACGGGCGCGCCGTTCGTCAACAGACCAATCACTGATGGTGTCTGGAACCATTCATCGCTGGACTGTGTCCGAAGGGGGGTCTGCCTGTCTGACTACGAGATAATTGAACCTCGAGGTCATAATGCAGATCTGGACTTACGACTGAGAGGACGCCAAAATGAAGGAGATAGTCTTGGAAACAGCATCAACGGTCTGCAGTCTGTGGTCAAGTATAGAGTGGTTTTCACGCCAGTGGTGAGGATAAACTACAGGTCCGACTAAAGTCCCCGCACTCAGCGGTGATCGCCTAAAAGCGGGTATATGAGTGCAGCACCACAGCTCGACTGAGCTGCCGCGCGGGGTTGTGCTGGTCCCATTCTCGTAGCATACCTCAAGCTAGCTGTGGAACTGAGTCAGGAAACGCGTGTGCAACCCATCAGATACGTCCCTTACCTAATATTCGCGGCAGCCTACGACTGACTTGCAGATGCGACTGCTAATGGTGACACGAGGAGGTATCTGAGGCGGTCAATATGATGAGTTAAACTATGCGCATGGCTAAGAGACACTGACGGATTGTGCTGACTATACAACATGTGGTCTGGGTATTGCAGCGATAGATCCTAAACCTTGTGTGAAGTGAAGTATTAAACACATTTGAAAGAACGTACCATCAATCCGTCGTGGGATTGACAGGTACAGAGAAGACCGGATCGTAATGGCCACGGCTTCTGCAAAGTGATATCAGCTGATATGCCTGATCATTACGACAGAGGAAAAAATACGATTTGGTCAAAAGACTAGAATCAGCTGGTAGTAGTTGCGAGATCGAGAGTCGGAGAAGGTGATCTGCGGGAGCGATCGCCATCAGCGGCACATGCTTGCAATTACCATATTCAACGCCTCGACCGCCGCTTCCTGTTGGCTGAAGATAGACAGATTCCCATACGAAGAGCCGACGCCCAAGGATTAGTCTACGTAGGGCCTAAAGTGCCCTTTAGTTAGTCACCGAGATCGAAGCGCAGTCGGATACACATACGGGTATATTGTCTCACACGTTCGGGTCGTATGTCATGCTGCTGCTGGCAATGGATGCAGCACAGCTCACTCTCCTCGAGTATCCTAAGCACACCCGGTTTGAAAAGCTAAGTCAATCTTGATGTCTGGCGGTTACACAGCGTTCAGGTATGTTGTGATGGAGTCGTTACGTGAAGAACCAGAACCTGCGTGCCAAACATCAGAGAACGAAACAAGACGGGGCACGCAGTGAACATACCGGATATTTCCATGGAGGTATGGTGGTATGTACCGACGGCTTATAGACGCTGTGTGGCGTCTCGCAAGGACTACGCGTATAGTTACCGCGGAGGCCGGAAGAAAACTCTGAGATGCAGCCGATAGCCCGACTGAAAATGAGGGGACCACGACAACGTGATGATCTTCAGTGGCAAGTGTGCATCCCGCCCCTTGGCGACAATCGCCACGCATGATGCGGCAGCACATCTGGCTCATGCATGCGCATCGGGGGTGTTAGTATCAGTCTATTGCCGCCTGTAGATCACCATGATGACAGAAACTCCAGTCGCGATGGCGGGTCGATGGAATTCAATCCTTCACAGACTGTTCTGAACGTTCATGACCTGGCGAGCACGTGCAGAACGCGGTGGGATGGGGTATGTGGCTAGGTGTCAAAACTTGGGACCATATCTGGAACATTTGAATTGGACAAGATGGCGTCAGTTGTATTTTCACCTGCAGATCTACAAGAGAGCGTACTTTGAAGAATGCCATTCCTCGAACCAAGGTTCTTGCGCAGCAGGCAGCATATCCCCAGCTTCCTCCTGTCGATAAGCGAGCAACTCTGCGTCCTCAGGTTCCACAGGTGGTCCCACCGTCCACTCGTCTCGAGCCTGATCGCAATCCCAGCGCCACTTACAGACGCTAACCTGGCATTGAGCATCTTCCTGCGCGGTATAGATCCCAATGTCCGCCCTGGTGTCACCAGAACGCTTCCTCTTTATCCCTGATACAATTGGCCGAAACGGGCGAGGGAAGCGGACAGTGTCGTCATCCGACAGGGGAGGGCAATATTCGTTCGTGGAGCAGCGGAAATAACCATCAGGGAAGGGTGCGAGCTCGCCTGTGGCCCACAACCGCCTGCCGCGTACTCTCTCCAAATACAGGGGGATCGTCCATGACGCATACCGGGAGAATATGGTGTATGTATGATTGACCTCCTTGTGAGGCAGCAGCTCCCGCAAGATATGCCTGTAGTGGAATGGTCGCTTGCTCAATTTCTGTCCCGCTCGAAATACCATCAGACGGAGATCAGCTTTCAATTTATGCCACCCGAGCGACCGATATAAGCAAGGGGCCGCCATGACGGCAGGCGTGATGGGGTTACCCATGGTCGTGCATGAGTCTGGAGGGTGCTCGTCCTCTGCGATGATGCAATACTTGTACGCCTGCGTCACCGTAAGCACAACGATTGGCCAAGAGGGCATATTAATACATACGGTGCAATATTTTTTGAGACTCTTCAAATGAACAGGATGGGGTATCATCAACAAACGGTTTGTTTCCCACAGCTCTCGGAGGTCGCGTCGAACTACGCACAGTATGTGAGGCGACAAACGACGGGTCAAACGTGGAAATTGCGCACGGAATATTATATTCCCAGGTGCATGACAACGCAGGGTGTTGTAGTTGCCACGCATACCGGCCATCAAGGTGTCGAACTGGCGTTGCATCTCGTCAGTCACAAAACTCAAAATAACAGCCATACATACTCACCAATCGCTGAGGCATGTCTAGAGGCCAGATATAGCACCCCTCTACATCAGCAGACACGCAGCCGGTGATCATGCACTTCGGGTGAGGTCCAAAACGAACGGCGTCCTTGATGTTGGACGCGTTGCATCCAGTGACGGAAGTGCGCATCCTCTTGACAGGGACTTCATCGATCTCCGTCTCCGGGCTCCGTTTTCGCTTCGGCAGGCGGGGGATGCCTTCGACTGGCGACTCTCGTTCAATGTGGGAGGAGACCGGCTCGGCTGCATCTGGCTGGGCTAGCTGGACGATGGGTATATGCACAAGAGCGTCCATACGGAACACATGCTCGTAGCGGAGCGGTCGCTTCATGAATTCACGACCCACTCGAATGGTCATCAGATGCAGATTAGCACTCAGCTCGTGCCACCCCAGCGAGCGATACGAGCAAGCAGCGGTAGTAGCTAGAGGTATAATGGTATGATCCTGGGGGGTGCCCGAGTCTGGAGGCTGCTCGTCCTCTACGGTGACGTGGTATGTGTAGACCTACTTGACTGTGAGCACGGCGACCATCTGGAAGGACGTGCCATACATACAGGGCGGGTATCAGGGTGGTTTATATGATCGGGATGGGGTATCATCAACAGGCGATTCATTTCCCATAGTATGCGGAGGTCACGTCGAACTGCATGAGGGTTGTAAGACAAGGTAAGATAGGCCAGACGCAAGGAAGCACGCACGGATAATAATGTTTTCAGGCGCATTGCAGTGGACGATATTAGATTCAGTATGCATGCTGAGCGTTGTGCAGTTGCCCTACAAAGCTGCCTTGTCAGCTACGAGGTCGAGGTAGTAACCACCCTACTCACCAACGGCTGAGGCGTGTCGGGAGGCAGGATATAGCACGCCTCCACCTCGGCGGACACGAAGCCCGTGATCATGCATCTAGGGTGAGGTCCGAAAGGAATCCCGTCTTTGAGCTGCGATGCATCGCTCGGACTGTCAGACAATCGCCTTCTCTTAACACAGACTTCGTCGACCGTCGTGTTTGCACACCGTTTTCGCTTCGGCGGACGAGTGATGGCTTCAAGTGACGCGTGTGAGTTAATATCGGGGGAGACCGCGGGAGCCGCTTCAGGTTCGATGACCCTGATCTTCGTGTAGTCGTAGATGAGTATATGCCCAAGACCGGAACAAGCGCGGTCCTCGGCCTTGATTGCGTCGCTCGAAGTGCCAGACGTCCGCGCCCTCTTTGCACGAACTCCATAGGTGCTTGTGTCCGCGCTTCGCTTTCGTTTCAATGGACGGGAGACGAATTCTAGTAACGGGTCCACTGCATCGGGCTCGACGTCCCCGACACTCGTGCAGTCGCTGATGCGTATATGGCCAAGACCGAAGCACGCGCCGCCATCGACCCTGGGTGCATCGCTCCAAATATTAGGCAGCAGCGCTCTCTCTGCGCGGACTTCATCAGCCCTTGTGTCCGCCAACCGTCTCCGTTTCAGCGGATGGGTGATGTCTTCTGGTAGCGGGGAGTCCGCGTCTGCTTCGACAATCCTGATGTCCGTGCCTTCGCCAGCGTGTGTATGCTTAGAATAGTCATCGAAAGAGATAGATGGTGCACGACTGACTCCAGAAGTGGGTGTAGCGGGTCGAGAGCTTTCGCGTGAAGAGGAGCTACCAGTATCGTCCGAAAGCGCGGGAGTACTCATATGGCGTGGGGGATGCTCAGCAGCGAGCGTATGAGACGTGTCAGGAATAAGGATGTAAAGGCCATTCATTTTAGCGTCGACTGTATCGCGAGTTCAGCGAGGTAGTAACGATGGTGTAGCGCGAATAGCGTGCGCCACCAGTGCCGTTAGCGGGTGCTTAGTCAGCGCTACTCTCGGAGTTCCCCGAAACCAATCAAGTCATGATTGGTGTAGTCGATTGAGTGTACAGTCAATTAATTCTCAGTGCGTTTGTGGGCGGACATAATCTGTACGCTCTGGTATATGTCCGTCTGCGCCTTGTGATACACAAATTTAGCACTCTGAACCTCTTCATGGAATACGTCGCAAGCTCTCTGTGTGAGATCGTAGTCGGAGTCCGGGTCAGTTTATTTTGGCTTTGCAATCTATTTAGTACTTCAGAGATGCTCACATTCTACTTCTGCTTAGATGTAACCCCTTGCTTCTCACGGAAAACGTATCCCTCAACACCTTGCACAGAATCCTTTGTGGACAGTACGTGTGAGGACATTCGTACCTGACCTCCCGTGCTCATCATTAGCATTCATCTGACTCTGTTCCATGAGGGTTGCGACTCATGACACAGAAAAATCATTTTGCATCCTTGCGTATACGTAGGAAATGTTAGTAGCCTCTGGCAGACACGGGCGGCGTGCCACGTCAATTCCAGCTTCTTTGAATGTGTCAATGTGTCAATAATTGTAGCTTTGTCGTCAATGCAATACTTTACTCTTCCCTATCACCCAGTTGATGATTCTGCGGTGAGAACATGGATTTTTGAGGCGGACAGACACAAACGTCTCACCCGGGAATGCTTCGCGCCAGCAACATGTCCTAGGTGAGTTTCGTTCCTTTTCGTCGAGTCTTCCGCAGACTGACCGTGCGGTTCCGATTCAGCGAATGACAAGCGTGCCTCTTTATGTGACCTTTACAGTGTGTCTCCCCGGTCAGCGGGGCACGGTTCCCGCGTCTCAGACGTGCATCTGATATCACAACTCCAGAACACACCTCGCACAGACCATGCAGATCAGGTAATACGCGGGAGGTCGCCAGTCACTGACCCGCGTCGACGATGGCTGCAATATCCAAATTGGAATACAATGGCCTCTGTGTCCTGTGGTCACGCGCTTTGCAACATAATATGAACTCAGCAAAAGCTGCTCGAGCCACACACTCTCGCAGTCTCTTCCTTCACCCCCACCTTCACCCCTCACCTCATCTCCGAAAATCTCCTAGCCATGGTTGACAGCTTGGATTTGAGACGATCTGATAGACTCAAAGACTTGGATCCAGGTACGGCTCCTCGTCGCTCCCCATTGACCGCTTTGCCCTGACTGTGGCCCGGCCACAGTTGATTACGACGAGTGCAGTGTCAGTGGCTCCCAGCCCGAGTCCGAACCCAAGCCTGCGTATGGAAAACGGAAAAGGGAAATATCAGACGACGGAAGCGATTATAGGCCGTCTAGGGAAGGCACGCCGGTCAATGACACTCCGAAGACTCCAAAACGGAGAGTGAGTCGCAAGTACGGCATTACAAATGGTGCACGACAGCGAGCGGTCAAGGCGTCCCGGAACGGAGGTGCCTGTATTATATCAGGCTTGAAGGACAAGTCAGTGCAACAGTGCCATGTCTTGCCACGCGCCACAGACGCGTCTATCGTAAGTTGAAGTGGCTCCTGAGCGGAGGTGGCGCATCTGACGGTCTACATACCCGCGTGCATAGCTCACGTCCCTGGAGTGGTGGTGGGGCATCAAAAAAGAAGGCCTCAATGTAGATTCTAGCCGCAATATGGCTTTCCGTGCGTCTTCGTTCTCGGAGGCATGTCGATACGCGTGGGCTTACTTGCATACAGTTCGTGGCGACCTCCATGTATTGTGGGATCGCGGAGACATTCTTATTGCTCCGATGCCCGACTTGGCGGACAAATTCATGGACAAGTACAAGGATGGTGAAAGACACGACATTTTGGAGGTGGGTCGCCGCGAGCTATTCGTTTACGACTGATGCGAATCGTCGCCACAATGCGTATAGGTCATCGGCAAGAAGAAAATCCACCGGTACTGTGTGATCCCCCACCCTAGCCTTTCAGGCAGTGCACGTTCTAGAGCAAAGCGTGCAATCCGCCAAGGGTTCACCAACGGGTTCCACAAGCTCAAATTCGTGCCGTCCAATGCGCAGCCACACTTCATGATCATGAATGCCGCTATGAAGATCATGGAGAACAAAGAGCTGTGGGTGAAGGGTCTGCAGGAGTTCTACAAAAGAATCCACCTCAAAGTCGACGCATCCCGCGTTGTGGAGAACTTCTTGAGATTGAACGCGTTGTGGACTGCGCCACCACCGGGGGAAGCACAATTGAGGAGGAAGCAGGAACATATGTCAGTGAACATACTTGATTCGTGGCAACGCAACCACTTATCTCGTTCGTAGGCTTCCTATGAACATTCCGACAGGCGTACAAAGGACGCCTGAACGGTCGAAGGGTACGTCGTTATGCATTCCCTTGTTATGTGCCACGGACTCACTTGAACATCTATGGGTCTTGTAAATGACAAAGACCGCAAACCGGAGGCCCGCAAGTCCAACGGTGAACCGTACGTTAACACCCTCAAGTCGCAAGTCGCCCAATTGGCTCCTACTGGACCACGGTGCTTGTTGACCCACCAAGACGACAAGTCGGTTCAGGGATGTCACGTCATTCCGCGAAGAACCGACGATGATTTGGTAAGTCACCAATAGTCTGCGGTGGCATTCGCGCGACCCTAACTCGGGTGCGCCCGTGTATTTAGCGTATGCAGCTGGCGGCATGGTGGGGGCTTGAAGATTTTGATATCGACACGCCTTTCAACCTTTTCTTGCGTGAGTGTATATATTACAATTGCTCGACGTAGCCCTGACTCAGACCCCACACAGTAAGGGCCGATCTCCACTCCTTATGGGACAAAGGGCATATCATCTTCGTGCCTGAGCCTCAAATCGTCGCCGAGTATCCTACAAGATCAATTGTTCCCATCAATGTAGGCATGGTGAGTGAAGGGACAGGGTTTAGACATTGTATCTTGTTCACGGTGCTATCCAGCCACTGGACGAACCATTTAGAGTGTGCGAAGGCCCTCTTTACAGATATTGCGCCATCGGCCATCGCGACCTTCCCCGCTCAGAAGAAGATAGTGCTTTTCCGAGGGCACTCGACACCATAAGCTGGGTGTTTTCCCGCGTTCCTCCTGGATTCGTCATATACAATGTGGGTCTGGCGCTATCGAAGGGTGACGGACCAGGTAGCTTCGAGACAGCTCTAGACGCCTTCTACAAGAAGCACAATATTGAATATGAAGCAATCAACATACTCACTAGAATCAAAAACATCTGCGCCCAATTGTCAGAAGGCATGCCGCACGACGACAGCATGTATTCCGCTACCGAAGAAGCCTGTTGGACGGATTCTACTACCGAAGAAGTCTTCAGCATGGATCCCGCTGCCGAAGAACTCTTTGGGACGGATCTCGCTACCGAAGAAGCCTGTCGGACGGATTCCGCTACCGAAAAAGCCTTCAGCTGGGATCCCGCTACCGAAGCAGCCTTTTGGATGGATTCCGATACCGAAGAAGCCCGTTGGACGGATTCTACTACCGAAGAAGTCTTCAGCTGGGATCCCGCTGCCGAAGAAGTCTTCAGCTGGGATCCCGCTGCCGAAGAAGCTTTTTGGATGAACTAGCTGTCTCGATTGGTGCGTCGGTTATACTTCATTAGTACTCATATCATAACGGATGCGATCCTAGCTGGATTCAAGAGATCTGCATGTCATCAGACAATGCTGGGTGTAGGGTGGTTATCAGGATTTATGTGGCCTTATGGCCAGTCCGGACACGAGAAATATGCCTTGCTCCGGCTAACCATCTATGCTCCATTATGTAGTATCCCATCGTACAGTTATCCATGCAATGGTCCTACTTTATGTCAGAGAGGTAACCTAATCAAATCGCTGCTCGTGAATACACATGAGAGAGCTGTTGCGTTATTTGAGACACCCCGGGTCGTCGCAGTACGCAAGCAGTCGTTGCTTATTTGACGCTGGTAGAATTCAAATCTTGTTCCGCCAACAATTAAATCTTGTCATGTATCTCTTGGCCTTCGAGGCAACAGCATTTATCCTTGTCATGCGCTCCATGAGCGGTTTCGCGCCACACAATCTGTGCTCTTCCAGAGATTGAAAATATCCCGCTCAGAGCATAGGAGCTCATTATGTTCAGGATCGCAGTGGATGATATGGGCAACATTGTTCTCGTCCTCTGGGAATGAGTTGACGGGCCGAATGCTGGCATTGATAAGCACGTGTTTTCTACAGATAGCTATTCACTTTCAGGATAGTCTGACCCTGTATATGTTATCCGACTGCCACGTTTATGCTTCCTTGCGTTATTCTGTGACATAGCTAGTTTTGAGCGGCATTTCTTTGCACCAATCCACCACTAATCGGCTATGCGTCCTCGTCGACGCGTGAATATCAAAGAAAACCGTTTACCGACCTCACAGTCGCGTACTTGCCATGGCACTCATGCTCAGCCTCATTGTAAGCCCTCGTCGTCATTTGACGTCTATTCTTGTCCCGCCCGGCACGCTGCGAGCCTGCGAGTCCGTATTTCGCGTTCGTGATTGTGTCCTCACATATGCCCTGAAGTACCCATTGGTACGGATTTCTCTGCAGACGATGGGCCAGGTACAGGTATAGTCGATTTGCCCTCGGCGCTCGACGAATGGCGCGTGTCTTCATCAGGAAAAATGCCCAAACCTACATAGCTCTATGTAGGTCCTGTAGACCGCATAGAGCGATAGACTTCCCCCCGATTATGTAGTGCTATGTAGATGCGCCTGATCTCGCAAAGTGCTATGTAGCACCATAGACCGCGAGGCTCGTAGGCTCCACAGCACCAGTAGTCACTGTCCTTCAATCAATTGATCATCGTTATCAGATTCTTTGGGTCTCACAGGGCATAAATTTAGATTTGCATTCTTATTGGTAATAATAATGATTGTAATTACAAGCTGTGAGCGACTAGCAGAATCGTACTACTACATGCTTCCGCATACAAAAATACACACTAGCTGTAATCTATAGAAGCTGCGACATTGAGACTACCACCACGCAAGCTATGGTGTGTACTCCCCTGCGCCATAGATACAAGCCAAATGCGGCACAGAACCTTAGGGAAATATGACATTACTACCGCCTTCCACTTAGCCTGCGCCGCACAATATTGGTACTGTGGAGCAGCTGGCAGGTGTATTAGTGTTGCGACTTAGGGTCGAGCGACAGGGGGAAAAACCTAAAGCTGGGGGTGTTCGACTTATCCTACCGAAGCGATGGTGAGCGATGCTCAAACCTAAGGCTAGGGACAAGTTAGTTAGTTATTGAAAGGTAAGTAAGTACAGGGGCTTACTGACCTAGGGACAAGAGGTCGAAACTGAGGTCCCTAGGGCAGCAGAGGCAGGCTTATATACAGGGGAAGATGAGGGCAGGCTGTGCGCACTGGTCCGTGCACAGCTGGTCCGTGCACAGCATGCTGATGCAGCCCTGGGGGCCAGTGAGTCAGGGCGGCTGTGTCAGCGGAGCCTGAGCTGTGCCGCGCACTGCCGCCCATCTAATCTAATCGTACAGTAGATAGCGACGTGTCCATATCAGGCATGTAGTACAGAGGTTGCGGGTTCGAGCCCGCAAAAAGGAAAAATTAAAAAACGGCTAGACGCCGTACCAAGTCGTGACATTACCCCCCCTCAACGGCGCATGACCTCATGCGAGGCGCCCTTGCCCATCTCCCACCCGGAGCGGCAACGTGCTTCAGTCAGCAGCGACGGCATTGGCTGAAAGTTGAAACCACCAAAGGTAGCAGCATTGAGGCGACGAGGGGCGTTCGGGTTCTTCCGGTGGAAGTCGGCTATGAGGGCCGGCGCATTTGCAACGTTGTGCGCCGGTTCCCATGACGTATGCGAGTCGTCATAACCCTTCCACTTGATGAGGTACTGCAGCTGATGCCGGAAGATCCTCGAATCTTTGATCCG